TTTTTGGTTATTCCTCTGTTTTTTTGGGGGGGGTAGTAACTGGGCAGCCTGGTGTGTTACAGTGTGGTTATATGATTGCCATAAGTAACTTTGAAGTAAGCAAAGGGGGATTAATAAATCAAGTTTTAGCATACTATATCATAGAATAGTGCTAGAAACATTGGAAGAGTTTTAGAAATTGATTTAATCTCACTCCTTCATTTAATAGATAAAGAAACATGTCCAAAAATATTTGTTAATTTATATTGACAATTATAAATTACATTGAGAACATGGACCATAGTCACGTTCATTCACTCAACAAACATGTATGTTGAACCTATTAAGTAGTCTCATTTTTGAAGACTAGGTTTTAAATACACTTCTAACATTCTTATTATGATGCTAAATAACTATCTCTTTGATAAAGATTGAAACATATTTCTTTTTTCCCCAATATGTTTGGCCTCCAAATCCTGTCCATTCTTATTTCTTTATTTAGTCATTGTATATTGAGCTGACATTATACATAAGGCAGTATTTGAGGTACTTGTATTCAATGGCAAGTAGATTTTCAGTTTCCCAAATGGGAAGTTAATGTTCACTTTTGAAAATCTCTCTAGTGTCTGCTTTCCCAAGTGCCATAGTGTTAGTACCATCATTCTCTTTCCATCATTATAGTGACAGGGGAAGATAGGCAATGGACGATAAATACAAAATAACAAGTAGTGATAGGTGCTGTGAATAAAAATAAAGCATGACTGATAGAAAATGATGAGTGTATACTATTTTATCTAGGGTGGGTGAGGGAATGTCTCTCTGGTATGATGACTTCTGAGCAGTATCTGGAGGAAATGGGTGAGATATCTGGGGCAGAGAGTATGAGTCCCAAGAATTGCCTGAGATGTTAATATAGAACATCTCAAAATGTCAAAATACGTATTTCTAGTACTTTTTGTAATCTTGAAAGGTAAGAGAAAAAGCTATGTGATTATTTAGCACATGGATTGATGCTTTGGTCTTTCCTAAGTCCTTATATGAGACCAGTTGCATATCATTGGTGGAATAACCTGACCTGAGTGGGAGTTCCAGAGTGATGAGTTAGTAGGGAGGCCCTGAGTCGCTTCCTTGTTTTTAGTGTAAAGTAATGCATGAGCTTGCTTAACCGGGTAATTGAATTTTGCTGGCATATTATGTAGTTTTTATTAGAATAGCTTTCACAGAAATGGAAAATGACTTTAAAAAGAATGCTGCCATGAGCCATAGATTGATAATCATGCCAATAAAAATCAGTGTTATAAAAAGTTCCTCTAGTGGTTCTTTATATCCAGAGTTGTCCAACCCGCAGCCTGTGGGCTGCATGTGGCCTAGGATGGCTATGAATGCAGCCCAACAGAAAATCGTAAATTTACTTAAATCATTATGAGATTTTTGTGTGTGCGTGATTACATGTTGCAATGTATTTAATGTGTGGCCCCAAACAACTCTTCTACCAGTGTGGCCCAGAGATGCCAAAAGGTTGGATACCCCTGGAACTTTAGGCAATTTGGGAAAATAATGGCTTAGCTACAGTAAGATATACTAGGGACATAGTAGAAAGGGAAATTAGATGACGTGATGAAACCGGACCTGTTGCATCAGTGAAGTATAATAAGCGAGGGAGTTGAAGAACAAGTAAGTGTAGCAGTATATGAATGAGAACTATTCACATTATCTTTTATTTTTAATATAAGTTAAAGTTTAATATTCTCTCAAAGGTCATTGGAGTGATGGTACAGTCATTCCCTGCAGTCATTCGGGCTCCATGACTGACAGAGGCTGTGCTGCTTGCCACACATGGCTTTCATTGTCCTCCTGGGCATTGACACTCAGCAAGCAAATAGAGGAAGAAAGGAAATGTGTGGAGGATGGTGTGGGCGGTGTTTGTGCTTCAGCCCCGAAATGGTGTACATCGCTTCCACCAACCTGACATTCCTGAAGTGAATCCCAGTTGGTCGAGATACATTACCCTATTTATGTACAGCTAGATTCAGTTTGCTAATATTTTAGTTTTTATATTTTTAAAAGAGATTGATTCCTAATTTTATTTTTTAAAGATACATTTTTTAAATTTTAGTATCAGGGATATGCTGCCCTAGTAAAATATGTGGGGCAATAATCTCTCTTTTCCTAGTCTCTGAAAGAATATGTGTTAGATTTCTGTTATGTCTTTCTGAAATGTTTATTAAAATTTACTTAAGACATGTGGGCTTAGAGATTCCTTGGTCAGCGTTTTTTTTTTTTTTAATATAGCTTCAATTTCTTGAACACATACAGAACTATTCAGTTTTTTATCATATCTTTCAGTTTTCTTAAGTTGTGTTTTTTTTCTAGGAGTTTTTTTATTTCATCTAAAAAGTCATTTTTACTGATACAATATGTTATAATATCTGATTGCTTTTAGAAATATCTGTAGGTTATGTAATATTCTGAATTCATGCATAATATTAAAATTTGTTTTATATTTTTATCATTATCATCTTACTACATTTCATTTTTTGACATGTCTATTTGATATTTTTACTATGTTCCATGTCTTTTTAAAGTTGTTTTGGTATTTTCCATTATCTTTTTCTCTTTTTGCTATAGTCTGTACTTTCTTCCACTATCTTTTAGTTCTCTAATATTGCTTTGTGCTCCATTTAATCTACTGTTTACCCCATCTATTGAGTTGTTAACAACACATATTTCTCAGTTACAAAATTTTTATTTTAGGAATTCCAGTTTTCTGAATGATGGTCTCTATCCTATCCATTTTTTAATATTTTTCCCAACACATTAATCACACATATTTTAAAGTCCTTGGTAACTAATAACTGAATCACTGATGGGCTGTTTTCTCTTCTGTTTTTTTTCTTTTTCTTGGTGTTTTCTATTGTCTTCTCTGATAATGTTGTATTGAAAGCTCTATATACCTTGCATTTTGAAAAACTGAAAATGCTCTGTGGAATGTTAACATTGTCCAAAGAGAGTTCATCCTTTTTCTATCCTAGGAAGAAAAAATGGGAGGTTGATCACCATAATCCAGTGGTTCTCAAACTTATGTATTAAAATGTCAGTATATATGTGTAAACCAAAATTAATTTTAGACTGTAAGAAAGAATAAAAAGCATTTATTTGAGCAAAAGGAGCTACAGCCCGGGACACACAGATTCAAGCAGAAAATTCAGGCAGCATCCCCAGACAAAGGAGAAGCTGCCTTTTTTGTTCTAAGATTGTATATATTTATTTTTAGAGAGAGGGTAAGGGAAGGAAAAGAGAGGGAGAGAAACATCGGAAAGAGAGAGAAACACTGATGGGCTACTTCCTGTATATGCCCCAACCAGGAACTGAACCTGCAACCCAGCCATGTGCTCTGACCGGGAATCAAACCAGTGACCTTTTGCTTTGCTTTGTGTGAAGAAGCCCAAACAACTGAGCCATGCTAGTCAGGGCAGGACCACCTTTTGTAGCTAGAGTTCCCATCCAAGTTTCCAGTTAGGTCTGTTTTATGTAAATTAGGTATCCAAATTGTGTGGCTCTGACTGGTTGGGGCAGTTCTCAGTCCTTTGGTAGAGAGGTGAAACCAGGGTTTCCCTGCATTGGTGTCGAGAGCGTACATTTGTGATACCGTCTTTCCTATAAGTCAGCTGGGCAACTGCTCAGCTAGCTGCCTGCTGAGCAGCCCGGCACCAAGGAAGAGACAAGAGTCACACATAGTAACTGTGCTGTTCACTTAGCTTTTACTGAATTCAGGTTCATTCAAAGTAGAACATCAACGTATGTTAATATCCTACCCACACTCTAACAATCTAAGAGAATTACTCCACACACACAGCAATCAATGGGGGATAACAAACCTGAGTCCCAGAGTCTCAGTCTGCAGGTCCAGGAGACAGCATGTTGGGCAAGGGAGGGGTCAGCATCTTTCAAAGAAGGACCTCCAGAGCCAGGTGGGCAGCAGGTCAGGTGAAGTCCTCAGTCCAACAGGGCAGAGCTGCCAGCAGCTGATGCCAAGGGAGATCAGCAGGGCATGGAGCAGCACTGTGGTGTGTAGAGCTCGGCTGTCTCAGCAGTGGTCTGGAACCTGCCTCAGTTATACTTGAAAGTGGTGCACTTCACCCTTCTGGGCCTTTTTGATAAGTGTCTTGGCACCCCTGACAGAAAGTGGGGAATTTCCCAAGGAGCCTGTCTGTGGGTGGTCCTGCTCTGCAGACATGGCTTTTCTGATCACATGTGCAGATATCTTAGTTGTGTCTTCTTCCCAAATGTGTCTGCTCTGACTTAGGTGGTTTCACTCTTGAACCAAAGTGTCATGGCCGACTGACAGCCATCTTAGTTGACATGCGTGACTTCGCTTTGTTTTATGTACTTTGTTCTATTTTGATTGCACCAATGCCATTTTATTGGTTCTGCTCTGCACAATTCACATAAACAAGCAGTGAAGTAAGTCCACAATTTAGCCCGAGGTTCTTCCAGGTATACAGAATGTGTGAGGAGCCCCTGTCAGCACATGGCTGCTAGGCTGTTATTGTTCATAAAATTGGGTCCTCCAGTGATCATGAGGAGTCTATCTCAGGAGATAAATTCCTTCTCATGATTCACATCAAGTGAATCATTCTTCTAGGGGTCTACATGTGTAGTACTGGAGAAGTAATGAAAAAATGTAAAGACAAAGGTTTGTTGAAGTAATACAAGGTCTTCTGCCTCTAGATCCAGGGCCAGAATTGCCACATGCCCAAAGGGATAACACCATTGCCTTATGTGATCTCGCCTCTCAGCTGAGAGGTTTTTGTTTTCAGTTATCCCTTTCATTTTTAATTGCCACAGCCCTCCCTAATGCTTTTTAAATAGAACTTTTTTTAAAGAATAGCTTTTCACTCTTTAGCTGCAGCACTGATGGGTCACAAACCACTCACTTATTAATGTCTACAAAAGTCAGTAGTTTTATTATTTTGTAAATGAAAGAACAAATCATTATTTAGTTTCCTTTTTTTTTTCAGGAAAAACATAAACAAGAATTGGAAGACATGAGGAAAGCTGGTCATGAAGCCCTCAGCATTATTGTGGATGAATATAAGGTAGAGGATTGAGAGTTTTTTAAACTTTGATAAACTTTAGTAAATAATTTTAACTTAGGCATAAGCAAATATACACAAATTGTGGAATTCTAGTGTAGTCTTATTTTGGTATAGAATCCCTTTCAATTGATTTATAGTGTTCATTGAAAGCCTACTTAGTAATGATGGATGTTGCTCTGCATTTGAGAAGTTATACAATATTTGAGAATACAGGATTGGCAGCTGAAGATTCCAAAACAAAATATTATAGAATTAATTGCTGGATTGTATTATGGCTCCACTTCTCATAGAAAAAGAAAGATATGGTACATACCTGAAAAATATTGTTATACTTTTATTCTTAAATATTTTAAGTAGATTTCAGTATATTTAAGTAATGGCAGAAATTGTGATAAATGTCAACATGAGTGATATGCAGTACTATTCTTTTGATTCTATGCCTGTATAAGCTTAATTGTTTATTTTTTTAAAAAGATTTTATTTATTTATTTTTAGACAGAAGGGAAGGGAGGGATAGAGAGAGGGAAACATCAATGTGTGGTTGCCTCATGCATGCCCCCTACTGGGGACCTGGCCCACAACTCAGGCTTGTGCCCTGACTGGGAATAGAAATGGCAACCCTTTGGCTCTCAGGCCAGTGCTCAAGCCACAGAGCCATAGCAGCCAGGGCAAAACTTAATCATTTAAAGCAAATTTAGTGTTTAATCACGTTTTCCCAACATTTCATGTTAGATTTTTTTCCCACAAGAGGAATACATTCTTGTTGAAATCAAAACAATTCCCAGAGGTAACCACTATTAGCTGTTTGATGTGCATTTTGTAAAAGTTTTTTTTTTCTCTTTCTCTGTAGGTACAGATATAAATATAGATATTTCCACATCATACTATGTAATTTGGATTTGTTTTTACAAAAATGTTTTTCTACTCAATCTGTTCTTTGTTTCTTGCTGTATTTACTCATATAACTTAGAGATATTTTAATGTCAGTTTATATACACTTATTTTTGTCACTATTCTATAGTATTCCATAGTACATACATACCATAATTGCTTTACCTGTATAGACAGGAATTTAGTTTTGTTTTTGATTGTTCATTATTACACTAAATGTTTTCTTAAAAATCCTTTTACCACATGTGGGATATATAAATATTTTGTCGATTAATTTTTATCCCTAGGCTTAATAGACATTAATGTCATTTTAGTTAGCTGATAATTTAATGTGAAAAAGATTCCTGTAGCAAGCTTTTGGATAAAAGTACATAAAGAAGTATATCCAAAATTACTTTAAGTGAAAAACATTTCCCCCTTTCCATAAAATAGTCTGGTAGGTAGGTCCTGGGACATGAAAGGTCATTTTTGCAACTTGGCCCAACATAGAAACTGGTGCAATTGTTGAGAAGGTCATTCAAAAAATGTCTGGATTTTACAGCTGTGATTATTGGCTCTTTTTATAATGTGAATTTTTAGTTCTGCTAATATAAACCAGCTTTAGTTATTGACTTGGGGAAAAGTATAGGATCTGTTTTGAACCATCTTTTTTTCCCTAAGGGTAATGGTGGGTAGAATTAAAATACTGAAATTTATATGATTCTTATGGAATAGTAAGTGATATATTCTTGGATGAATTTTATTTTTTACTTTTTATTTATGAACTTTAAATGTTTTGAAAGTATTTACATTGTGTATACTTATATATATTTCCAAACAGCCCAGTATTTAATATATTAAATCCTTTTTTGGCTGTGGATTCATAAAATTTCCTTTGCTGAAAACATGTTTATTGTATATTACTTTCAACACTGCCAACTAATGTGGTTAAAATCCTATGTGAAAACTTTGTAAATATATTTTGCAATTGTATTTTGAGGAAATTTGGTTGTGAGCTACTTACTTTATCTCCTTTTTGTCTAGTATTATTATTTGTCAGTAATTAAAAAAAGTATCAAGCATTAGGTATTATGATTTGCTGAAAAGGATTAGGAATTGAATCAGAGTGCATACGAAGTTATATTTTATTTGTTGTATTATACTTAAAGCCAGTTAACATGAAAAATACATAAATTCTTCTACAGCAGGGAATTTTGGTATAAATACACTTCATATAGCTTTAGATATTGATTTAGTGATGAACTTGACATTTGGTATAATAGTATTACAATACTCTCAGGAGGAATAATATCTAATATGTTAATTGTCACATGCAATTTTATAATCCAGGTGATCTAAAAACATACTGAGCGTCAGCTTCATAGTAGTATGGAAAAAATAATGAAAATAAATCAGGCAGGAAAAATAGGCAGTGTTTTCCTGGTAGATTAGATGTCTATAATTTAAGTGTTAATTATGTCCCACTATGGAATAAGAAAAAAAGTTTTTTTCATCTTTTCTATTGCTAAATTCAAACATGAGAAGTTCATTTGATCATTGCTTTATTATGCTTCTCTTTTTTTAAGATAGCAACTTAATTTTTATTAATATATTTTAAAGGTTTGTTTTGTTAAAATATATAAACATTTTGATGGATGATTCGTTAATCATTAGGTAACTCAAAAATAAACCAAAATACACCTTCTAGCAACCATTGTTCTGGGAACAGCATCAGTGTGAATATTCTCTTTGCATTTTAGTCTTTACTTCAAGAAATACTATTGACATCATTTTTATGGCAGAGACTATTATAGATACAGTACTGAACAAAATAGATAAGTCCTTGGTCTAATGGGATATGTATTCTATACATAGACATCACTGTATATGCATATACCAGAAGTGTATATACATGTACGGAAAGTAAGGAACCTGAAACCATATCTTTCCTGATACTTAGGTTTTCAGGGCTTTACACTGTTATCTCTCCTACCTGTGCAGGTATTTTCTCAACTAGGCAACTGAACTAGAGAAATCTGTTACCCTCCAACCACCATTCTTGGCTTCCAGGGATCTGACATATCCTGGACTAGATGTGATTAATTTTTTTTCCCTCCAAGTTGAGTTGAAACATTATCGAGGAGTTTGAAAAAAAGATTTCACTAGAAAAGATAGTAAAACATTCTAACTAAGGTAAAACAAAAATACAAAGATACACTGTTTTCTGCTCAACTTCTGCTTCCAGACACATGAAATAGACATTTTTTCCTATTCTTCCTACTAAATACAACTAAAAAATAAACCCTGAGCATTAATGTGTAAAACAGACATAAGATCTTGACATTTTGATTAATAAAGTGAGACTGGCTCAGGATCTTGGGATCCAAGTAACTACATGACACTGGGTCCCCTGTTTTTTGTTTGTTTGTTTGTCTGTTTGTGTTTCTTCATTTACTCTATACCAGGTGCTGGAGAAGAGAAAAACCCAACACACGAAATGGGCACGGACAACAAACCCCAAGGAAAGCCTGTTTTCTCTACCCAAAAGACAAGAAAAGCCTCCATCTCAAAAAGGCAGAAAACTATTTGATAATAACTACTCTAATCCTGCCAAACATCACACCATAAACTGCGGCCCCACCCCAGCCCTGCCAACAAGAGCCAGTTAGAGAACCCAGGCTTCCACCCTCTCTGGGCCGTGACGGGGTACCCTTCCTTTTCCCCACTGGGGCAGTGTCCTAGAAGGCTGACTGGGAGCCAGGACTTTGGGTCCCACTGGGCAGTAAGTTCCCTCCTGCTTGTGTGTGAGGGTAGGCTGTGTGGGAAACCTAAACTTCCACCCACCCCGATGGTAATGAGACCCTTTCCCCTTTCCCCATTAGCTATGCATGAATGAATATTTAATAGAGAGTCAGGACTTTAATTACTGCTCAGTAGTGATAAGGTCACCCTCACCCCACAATGTCAGTGGAGGCCATTTGGGGCACAATAAGGCAGCACCCTTATTGCTTCTAGCTGGAGTGGTATCTGTGAAGTTCCAATGGGGCACTTGAACTTCTAACCACGTCCATCAATAGTGAGGAGGTCTTTGTTCCCCTTGCCCTGAGTGTCGGTAGAGAATGAGTCAGGAGCCTGGACTTCTATTGTACCGGCCATTTTCCTCTATCCCTGCTGAAGTAGTAGCATATTAGAGGAAATCTGCTAACACACAATTTAAAATATGTGGGTTTCATTTGAAAATTGCTAACCTTACCAAGAACCAATAAAATCTCATCATGAGTGAAACAAGACAATGAGCAGAAGCCAACACTGAGTTGACAACAATGTTGGAATTTTTGCCCAAGGATTTAAAAAAAAATTATTGTTTTTCTATTACAGTTGTCCCAATTTCCCCTGTTGCTCTCCCCTGCCCTGCTCCCCCTGTTACCACCATCCCCCACTCGCACAGTCAGTCCTCACCCTGCTGGCACCCATCATAATAGTGATTTAATGAGCAATAATGAATATGTTAGAAACAAATACAAAATAGAAAATTTCAGCAAAGGCATAGAAAATTTCAGTAGAATAATAGATTATTTAAAGAAGAACCAAATGGACATTTTAGAACTAAAAAATATAATAACCAAAATAAATAGAGTATGAACTCAAAAGCATAATAGAGAAACATTGAAAAGAATTAGTGAATTTGAAAGTAGAGTAACAGAGATCCTTAAGTTTGAATGATAGAGAGAAAATAGACTGAACACAAATAAACAGGGATTTAAAGATCTTTGAGATTTAAATTTCATGTCATTATGAATTGAAAAAATATTCAAAGAAATAATGGCTGAAAATTTCCCAAATTTGTCAGAGGAAATAAAAGTACATACTCAAGCAGCCACATGAACTCTAGACAAGATAAACAAACAAAAACCCCAAAATATTCCATTTCAAGACTTTTGTGATGGTTAACTTATGTGTCAACCAGGCTGGGTCAGGGTGCCCAGATATTTGGTCAGCTGTCATTGTGGTTGTTTTTATGAGGGAATATTTTGGATGAGATGAACATTTAAATTCATAGACTGGGTAAAGTGGATTGCTCACCCTGATTGGGTGGGCCTTATCTCATCATTAGAAGGTCTTAATAGGAC